TTGGAGCTAGAAAAGTCACTGAGTATTGAGAGCTCAGTGAGCTGCTCCATAGCTCAGAGGGTAAGAACGTTGAGACCAGCGCAGATAGCGGAACCCTGGTGGCTTTTGAAGGTTTCAGAAGGAAGCAAAGACTCTACTGGGCCTGTGGTGTGAAGAATCTTTGGTTCTTGTCTGCCGGGGCTGAAGAATGGGCTGTAATTCAGAAATCAGCATCACTGAGGTGGAATCTGGGAAGGGTTTCCTGAGAGCACAGAGAAGCTGGTACCCAGTCAGGTGGTGCTGGTTTTGATGGCGTGAAAGGGTCATGGAGAGCAGCTGAGGGGCACCGGCTGGCAGGGTTGGAGCCCCTGGAGAGAGCCCAGGAGGGGCCACGGGTGAAAGTGAAGCTAGTTATAGCCGAAGACCCCACCGTTTTTTGAGATGTCAGTCTCATGGGATGACTACCAAGAACAGCCCCAGCAACGGAGCCAGCCTGAGTCTAGAAGAGAAGCCGTGTGTGCTACAGCGAGCAGACCCAGAGAAGTGACCCAAGCCCCTTGGAAGAGCTCAGAAGATCACGAATCTAGATAATCGGATATTGAATTGTTTACATTTTTGGAGTTAGGTTTTGCTTTGTTCAGATTGGAGCTGCATGCCTTCAAGGTAGGCAAGCAATTAACTATTTTTTTTAACTTTACAGGAACCCACAGTTGAGACTGAATTTTAAGACTTTGGATTTTAAAGAAAGTGAGTTTTTAAAGACGTTTCCAATGTGGAATGTGTGTGTTGTGATGTTGATGTGTGATCTTGGGGAAGAACAGAACAGAAAGGTTATGACCTCATGTGTTTCTGTGACAGGTTGACAAGGGGTCAGTTAGGCTGGCTAGTTTTATGTCACCTTGACACACACTAGAGTCATCTGAAAGGAGGGAACTTCAATTAAGAAAATGCCCCCATAAGATCTGGCCATAAGGTATTTTCTTAATTAATGACTGACGGGGGCGGGCAGCCCATTGTGGGTAGTGCCAACCTTGGGCAGATGTCCTGGGTTTTATAAGAAAGCAGGCTGAGCTAGCCATGATGAGCAAGGCAGTGAGTGGCACCTGCCCCCATGAGCTCTGCATCAGCTCCCGCATCCAGGTTCCTCTTCTCCTTAAGTTCCTGCCCTGGCGTCCTTCAGTGATGGACTACCGTCTGGAAGTGTAAGCCTAATAAATCCTTTTCCCCTCAACTTGCTTTTTGGTCACGGCGTTTCATCACAGCAACAGTAACCCCAACTAAGACAGTCGGGAGTATACAAGAAACATTTGCCCCTTTCTTGCAACTTTTCTGTAAAGCCAAGCGTGCTTAAAAAACAGTCTATTAAAAATCAACTCTATTAGTTAAAAACCTCTTAAGACGATTCGGAAGAGGAAAAAAGTTTCACCTGAGCAAACAAAGAAATTATCCCATACTGCATAATAACGCGAATTAAACTGCCATCTAACATGCTAGTTTATCACGGCAGACTTTTAACTGAAATAATACATGCAGTAAAACACCAGGAACAAAATGAAAATGAACTTGAGGAGACCGTAGAGATGGATGGCTGGGTTTAGGCAGACATGGAAATCAGCCAGTTGTAAACATCAAGTACTCCCCATGCCTCTGGGAGGGGAAACTGCTCAGATTGTCTTGATCAAGAAAGGATGCTGTGAAGTGATGTGTGGGGGAGAAAACCAGCTTAGCGATAGGAATGTTGGTGAAAGTTTATGTTAATGAGTATATCCCACGTTACTAGCTATATCTGCACCCAGATGGTTTAATCTGGCCAGTGCTAACATCAGGGATTGCTTAGGGTTCCTGAAGCTATTTCTTAGGCTCATAAAGGGCCCACCATTTTAGCTGGTTATAAAACTCAAGACACGCTATAACCTACTGCAAATCTAGGATGTGCTTGAACCTGGAGGTTGCTGGGGAAAGTTACTAATCTTCCATTGGCTTTTGTGCTATTAACATGTACAGTGAACAACAGTAAAATGCGTTGAGCATTCCCTAATTCCACGAAGCCCCATGGACTCAAAGCCCTGACAGTTTCTGCATGTCAACATGATGGCACACATGGAAAACTTTCTGTGCAATGGGTTACAATAAAAAGGATGGTACACTATAAAATACCGCCTAGTGTTATCTCGGGGCTTTGTGTACAAGGTGCACGTGGAACAAAATCTCATTATGCATACATAAATAATCTGAGAACTGTAAATCAGATTACTTCGGGGCCCAAGCATCTTGGATAAGGGCAGTGCCCACCTCGTGGACTAACCTATGCAGTTCTCCTGGGCTAGGAATGCAAATGCTGATGGCTCTTAGCCCTAGTGAACTGACTTCAGGAGACCTCAACTTTATTTTGGGGATTATTTATCAGGATGCCTTAGGCTGGTGGCAGTGTGGAGGCACATGTTAGGTGATGATTCTCCTGGTACAGGAGAATCACGTGCTTACACATTGCTCCCTGCCAGGGAGCTCTCAATGCAGTGAAGGTAGGAGTCACACCCTAGCCATCTCTGTGAGTGAACCTCACTTAAAAAAACACTTCTCAAAAATCTAATCTTCTCATCGGGAGTTCATTTCCACTAACTTGCATACTACCGAGCAGAAAACTTTTTTTTTCTCAATTAAAAGATTAAACTGGGTTAAGTTTTGATCTGCAACACTTTAACCTAATACTGTTACTGTACACTGACCTTCAAGAGCATCTGTGTCCTTAAAGTATGTCCCCTGGCAAGACCTTGATTAAACTGGGGCTTGAGGCCAGACCACCATCATGTTAAAAGCAAAGACAACATTTGGCGGGGGCGGGGCGGGGGGTTTAGACTGAAATGAGCTGCAGTTGAGATGCACGCATCTCAGCTTAGTTGGTGAAATTCCTAAGTCACAACTCAACAGTCCCAGACAACAACTCTGAGCTTCACCCCTAGCTTTGCAAGGGCACCAGTGAAGGCATGTTGCGTTACTAGATGGAGGCCTGAAATTTATTCCATCAAGATGGAAAATGAGATTGTATGATATTCTAAGAAGCAATGAGGTTTCAATTCTCATGTAAATGACCCAAAATAAACACACACAGGGAGCGAACCAGAAAAATGCCCCCAAAGAACAGAGGAATGGTTTCTAAATAGGCAGGGTCCCCCCCCCCCCCCCCCGCCCAGGTTTCATTTTAGGCAACAGAAGTATTTAACTCAATTATTCTCTGTTGAGACTATTAAAATGGCTTTGCTATTGCTATCAGGAGGTAATTTCAGATCCATTCAGTTTTGAGAAACTGATTGATGCTCATATCACAGCTCTGGTGTATCTTTATGATGCAGCAGGTACAAAGCAATGCGTTTGTTGACTGGAACCCCGCGGGAGCTGGACTCCGGTAATTCAGTGACTAGTACAAAGAGATGCCAAGTTTATTTCTTAGGCTCCTGGCAATCTCTGAAATCTTCAAGATTTGATGATGGGAAACTTTTCTCTTTTCCTCATTGTTTAGTGGCAACACATTTTAGGGCAGACACTTTCTATTCAGAACACAAGATTCCCAGAATTATAAAACCAGGAAACTCCTCAAGGTGACCCAACCTGAAGTCCTTCTCTGGGGATGGAAACAGAGGCTCTGGAGTGGCAAGGAACCCAGGGTCTGCAAGTTCCTGCTCTCCAGTCAGACGGACTTAAATTCTGGTCTGGGTTGTCAACTTATCCTCCGTGTGACCAAGGAAGGGTATTTAACTTCTCTAAACATTATCAGCTATCATTCTGTCCTGAATAAAGGGACTTTAAGGCAGGAAAGCAGTGAGAGATTATCAAGGATCAAAATGTGTTAGTACCATGCTGAGTTTGACTACGATCTCAATCATTTTGCTACTTGTTTGACCAAGATATTAAATTAGTGACTACACCAAGGCCTTATTCTCATGGAGATTCACATATATTTGATTCCAATTAGCACCAGACACTTCATATCTGTCTCAAAACTGCTTTAGCTCAGTGCATGTTTTCCATTATCCAAGCTCCAAACTCTTCGCTCACATGAAATTAATGACGATATGCTGGTCCTTTCTCTAAGGGTCTGAGATTGGATTCTGTTGATTTGCTGTTCTGAACAGGTCCCAAAGTCTTAAATGTTTTAGTGACAGATATTTCCATATGATCCACACGTCAGCTCTGGAGGAAGCGAGAATGAGAGTCTCAGGGGAGAAGTGAAATGTACTTTGCTTAAAACTCAGGGTTCTAAACCGGGCAGTGGTAACGCACGCCTTTAATTCCAGCACTCGGGAGGCAGAGGCAGGCGGATCTCTGTGAGTTGGAGGCCAGCCTGGTCTACAAGAGCTAGTTCCAGGATAGGCTCCAAAGCTATGGAGAAACCCTATCTCGAAAAAGCAAAAAAACCAAATCAAACCAAACCAAACCAAAGCAACAACAATAACAACAACAAACAACTCAGGGTTCTAGCGGCCACCGGTCATGGATGTTCACGATTACACTTAGCCAGTATCTACTGCCCTGAAATATTCCACACCACTCAGCATCAAATGCTCTTCTTATATAAAACCAAGAACAATTGAGAAGAAGCCACACAAAGTCCACTCTATCTCATACACTCCTGGTACCTCTCTGCTTTTGGTGTATTAGCAGACTCTCCAGTGAGCGTCCTCAGACTGTCAAATTGGTGCTGAAAACATTTTCTTGAAACAGACTACAGATTACCCCCAATCCGGAGAACGATCAGCATGTGTACAGCTAACTCTCATCTTCTAAAAATGATCAAAAGCAAATGCAATAGGCTCTAAATTTGGCAGAGAGACAGCATCATTAACTACAGCCAGATAAACCCAAGTATAAACATCCACAGAGCCCAAACACCTTTTTATGTGACGCCAACGTGATCAAGAGACCAACTGCTGAAGGAAACGGCGGCCTGAAAGGTGGCAATTTGTGTGTTACACCCGGTACTTAGTATTTCAGCTACTAAGACGAAACGGTTATGGCAAACTCACCCGCATCTTTGCGCAGGCATCTTGGGTTGACTCTGTCCCCCTAAGCTCTTTTATCAGCATAGAACCTAAATACTAAAACACACAAAAATCAGAAGGATATATTAAAAGGAGAGTTACAAACATGAGTAATGATTTGAAAGCAAACCATGGGTAGGCCACCGGCTAGGTTTCTTGGCTGTGAGCAGTTGAACACTTTGACGCAACTAGCATTCACGGATCCCTATAAATGGGCGGAACACGGCAGGGTGAGCCATGACTTCTGGGGGCTATAAATTGATCTTTATAAATGTTGCGGCGTTTTCTGAAGATGTCAACTTTCAAATCATATTTAACTGCAAAATGGGGATATCTAAAAATGTTTTCCCATTTTGTTTTTGAGGCGGCAGTGTCCGCAGGAATAAATCATACTACTCTCAGTGAAATCGCAGGGGTGTCTATGAGAGCTGAGGGATGAGGATACGTGGCCCCCGCTAGGGCTTATTCTGCAGCATAGGTAATTAAGATGGGGCAGTTAGGAGGCTGAGACGCAGTTTTGGCCTTTTTTTTTTTTTTTTTTTTTTAAATTCACAGCTGTGCGCCCAGTGCTTCATCCACCTGGGAATGCTTGGCACTTTACAGGGACAGAGCTTGCTCCCTGGTGCAGAGGGACAGATGAGGAGCTGGATGGAAGCAGAGGAAAGCCTCCCCAGCATGATACGCCATATTCATGCTCTGTGACTGAATCACGGGTTCCTGCTACATTCTCTCGTGTCTGATGGGACAAATAAATTTAAGCAAAACTTCTTCGCTGTCTGTCCCTCTCCATTCCCCCACATTTAAAATAAAATCAATTCATTTATCAACTTTTTACATCTTCAGCTGGTTCTTTTTTTTTTTATTTTGCCACTCTTCCATACCCTTAGAAATATTTTTACATGTATTTTAAAATAAGGGTTGCAGAAGAGGTTGGAAGACAGCGTCCTGTTCCCGTGGAGGCACCACGCAGGCGCGGGCTTTTCTGTCAGTCCCGAGGACCAGGAGAGCACAGGTTCACGGAGAATGTGTAAGGCAAGGTGACCAAGGCTCAGTCTAGGCTCTAGACCTAGGGCCTTGTTCAAAAAGCCTCAGAGATTTCAGGTTTGAGCTGTGGAGGAAGCCATAAGCTACAGGAGAAGAGAGCACAGTGTAATATGCCCAGACTGGGAGGAGATTACCAGACTGCGTCTTCATCCTTAAGGAAAACGATCTTAGGCAAGTTTTTGTCTTTTGCATTTTTAGGAAACTTTGCCCTAATTGAAACATTTCTTTTAAAGAGAGTCAGTTTCAAGGTTCAGCCATCTTCCCCCTACCCCAGTGTAGTCATGACAACCACCACCTGTTCCAAAGCCTACAGGACTTGCTGAACGTTGACTGTTCACACTTCCTGGGAAAGCACAGATCCCTTTCATTCCATAAAAAGGAAAAGAAAGAAAAACAAAACAACACAACACCAACCAACCAATAAAACCAAACCAAACCAAATCCGGTCCTGGAATCCCATCCCATCGCGGAGGGCAGCAGAAAGAATCTTGCATTTATAGAACATGCCAGACCCGACCTCCTGAGGTCGGCTTCATTCACACTCTCTTCCTTTGATTTTACTTATTATTTGTGGAGCTGTGGATGGAACCCAGGGCCTTGCGGATTCTAGGCCAACATTCTAGCTAAAATTGGGCATTATCACATGGCTTTTGCAATGCACTTTATACAGAGGCAGAGAACAAAACTTAACACTAACCAGATTCAAAGGGTTCCCCCAAAGCTCCCATCACCTGGGCATTTTTAGGAAAAGATGGAAGGGAAAAGAAACCCTTCAGAAATGGCCGTGATGGGCATTCTGGTACAGTTTCAGTGACTGAAAAACTGATCAGGGGACACATCCTCTGTCTCCACTGGGCTCAAATACTGGGTAACTTACAAAAGCTTTGTAGTCACATGACTGGAAGATGAGCTTTTCTGGATGATGCTGCCAGTACTGGACCGGAGTTGAGGCTGTGGCTTCATTTGGAGGTCGCAAGGTGATGGAAGGTTCTCCCCAGTCCCCTGTCTGGAAATGACATTTATTTTAGAGGCAGTATATGCAGTGACAGGTTCATTCTCTCTAGCTAGTCTGGGTTTACCTAACACACCTGAGCTATAAATGCACAATGCATTTAGGTAATATTGTATGCATTAATAGTTATTAATTTGTTTCTATATGAGCTAGTTATCATTCTAATTTCTAAAGCTGAGTATAAAGAAGTCAAAATTAATCTATTTTCAGACTAAAACCCTAGGCTAACTAATTTTAAAAACAAAACATGAAAATATCTGTAAGCAATTTACCCATTCATAATATTCTGTTACAACAGAAAAGTATGTTTGATTTTTTTTTTTTGAAAGACTGACTGAAAATTTCAGCTTGAATTCCCTTTACCTTAGAATACATAGTTTAATTTCATTTCCCAGCTATGGCTTTATCATGTAACTGAAAAATTTTCTGTCTGTGGAGAAAGGTTTTACAGGTAAGACACTAAAGAAGACATTAAAATAATGGGTAACAGCTAATTTCCCTCATCGGAGTTCAACTGCATAGATGCAGTGTTTCTACGATGGCCTTGCATGTACTGAGCTGCCTTCTGTGGCACTGCAGTGGTCCACGCTCTGGAACGCAGTTCTGCTCACAGGAGCATGTGCGTCTATGTAAGACCCCTGACTCTGAAGTATGTCACATTGATGGTATGTCCTGTGATACACATACCCACTAAGACCGACCTAAAAGAGGCCATGCCGTCATCCACTTTGATTTGTCACTTTGATTTGTTTGACATGGACGAGCATTTATATACTCCAAGCGCTATCCTGGCAGGTCTTCCCTTGGCTCTCATCTGACCTACATGTCACAGGCAGAGTCCATTTTATTCTTTCCCATGCTAAGGTTTCTGGCTTCTCAAAATCCAATTCTTTGTTCTCAATGGACACAAGGAAAACTGGGCTATCTAAGTGTCTCCACCGCTCCTCTCTTCTAACCCAAACTTGGCTAGTCTTACAGAATTGTAGGACATTATTTTCCTCAGGTGTTAGAAGCGTATAACAGGGCCTTATGAGCTCCCAAACCAAACAAAACTTGGCTGGGGACCACATTCAGTGGAGTTCTAGCAGAAGGGCTGACATGCTGTGGGGGTTCTGGGAGGAATTTTCAAGGAGTCTGTCTCCCAGATGCCCCATTTTGGAGAAAAACAGGAAGTGTGTACCTAGATCCCCAGAAAAGCTGTGGTAACCCCAAAGGCTCAGAAGCTGGCGCCTCCAGGCAAGGCTCAGACCAGCGAGCACCATGCTCTCTGTGCACTGTAGAATTCTGTTAGGTGGGACAGAGGTGGCTGCCAATGGTAGAAAGTATGAAGCAAGGGCTCTGCCTTCTGGACCTTTCTAACTGGCTTTGAAAAGCGGGAAGAAAGATTCGGAGTCCCATAGAAAGGCACAGGCCTTTTCACGGCAGCGTGCCTGGAGCCTTTCCTTCGTGCGTGGCTCACCTGGAATCACAGGTGAACCTGGTCAGCGTCCTGTCCTTCCCCGGGCTTCTCACGGGAGTGAGCGTCTAATGAGAACTCCTTATACCCTTGCTCTGTTCTTAGCCACTGTCCGTGTTTCTCTTTAGTAGTTGGTTTGTCTGTGTTGACTGATTTGCCTAGTCTCTGCTATTTTTGACACATGTCATTTAAAATATATAATGGCATTTAAAACCTCAAACAGTAATATAAACACTTATTTTAGAACTTTATGCTTTATCTTTGGGCTCACTATTGAATTTTCTCTTTATATGAGTTATTCGTAAAAGTAATAACTAATTGCAGTTAATTTCAGGATTAAGCTTTTCTCTGATTTTATATTTTGACATTTTCTTTTCCTTATTTCTCAAAGTCTTTTTTTTTTTTAATTCTCTTTCTAGTCTTTATAAAGCTGGTTATACATTGCCCTTAAGAACCCATATAGATGTGAACCTGACAGCCCTGTGGAACTCACTACCTGTTTTAAAGTAGAGTCCAAGAACCTTTATAACCCTGGAAACACTGCAGCCATGAGCTCTTATAAGGTCTCCCCCAAATCCAGCAAACGACCCTCCGGCATCCCGCTAAGCTCCTCTCCCTCCCACCCTCCCTTGAGAAAGCGACACAACACAGCAAACAGGTATCGAACACGCAGGTCACAGGTGACGCCGTTAACAGACCAACACAAGTTTGCACGCAACTCCGTGGAATGATACAAAAGGAAGATTTGGGTGACATCAAAAGATCCTTTGGACCAGTGTCTGCTGACGTGACAACCAGCCAAGCAACAGATTTTCCAACCCTATTGTAGCTAGCTGAGGTAACCCTTGGTGGAGCGTGACAGGCAGGGGCTGGGGGTTCTGCGGGCTGTCGGGGAAGGTCTGGGACTAGGGCTGGCCAGGAGTGGGTGCCGTAAAGCAGGGAAGTGGGGGTGTCTTACAGGTTAGTGCATTAGGCATGCAGATCATGGACAGGTTCATCTTCACACTGTTGATTAGGTCACACGCCTAAACCTGAATGTGGCCCTGTAGATTTAATGCAGAGCTGCAAGCCGGACACGGACGCGAATGTTTACATCATCCATAGACATTGTAACAGCCATTTTGGGCGTAACAGACCGAGGCACGCATTTCTCTGTAATCATCAAAGATCGCTGTTCAGCCACCATCTGACGAAATGGGGGGCACTGCCATCAACTGCTCTCCCGTGGCTCCATTTGGTCCAAAAGTCACAGAGCATCTGCTCTGAGTCCAGAGTGATCCAATAGGGCCTCCCAAGAAGCTATGGGGGAGATAATTCTAGGGGAGGGAAATATAATCCCGGCTTTATTTTCCTCGGAGTCTTGAAATGTTGCTCCAGTCCAAATAGTTTAAAATTCCTTACAGGCAATGCATTGACCTTTCTGGAAACAGACTCCAAATTTCGTCATGCTTAGTGCTAGTTCCAGAAACGTATTTTCAGAAAGAAAAGCGTTCTTTGGATTGGATTTATAACTAAAGAATTTTTTTCCTGGAAATTCAACTTCCTCTCTCTTAAAAACATAAACAAAAAACCCCTCCAATCTATGACTATTTAGATGAATCAAACTGCTGATGCTCGGTGCCTTTTTTTTAAAAAAGAGTCAATGTGAAAGGAAGAACTCCAAATGGGCTTAGTAACGTCTGCTAGTGAAAGATGGGAATGACCTTGGCCTTGGGCTGGGTTTCAGCTACGCTAGTTGACTGCCAAGAAAAGACAGAGTTCAGGGAACACGGGTGCCTTAGGTCTCAACCCAAGGTAGAATTAAAGCAGGAGTGAACCTTGGAGGAGCTGGCCTTGGTAGTTAGTGTATGTAGCAGCAGAAAATAATGAAAGATAAATGACCCTTGCCTAATTTCAACTTAGCTCTTGAAGAGCGAGCTACACATTCGTACACACATACAATACCTGTATTTCTTCATGCAACTGCTTTAGATTAGATCCATTAATTTTCCAGTTTAAAATTCTTATTAAAAATTAATAAAAATCAAACAGAACTAAGAGAAGTCTTTTGCTTCAAATAATGCTTCAAATAAAAAAAACCCTCTGTAATGAGGAATAGTCTAACCTTGGAAACAATGGTGCAACAATAGTTAATTAGAATAAAAATTAGGACAATTTTGGTGGAGACTCTTGTCTTATTTAAAACTGTTTCTGACACAGTGATCTTAGAGGACTTCTTCAAGTAATTACAGAAGACACGGAGTTGAATAGCTCTTAACAAATGTCTTCAGGCTCTTTAGCGCTTAGAATACTTAGAGAAAACTCTTTAGATTAATAACCGTAATATGCTAAGAATTTGGTCATGGCTTAAAACTTCATTTATTTGGTATTTGTTATATGTTTTTATGTATGTATTATATGTGTATATCTTAAGGCTTTTTTGTTTCATTTTTAAATAAATACACTGGAGGACATTCATTTAACAGGAGAAACTATACATCACTAATTAGCACTTCAAGAATTCAATCTTCTAATATTATGGAAAAATATAATTTGATATTAAAGTTTTAAACGGAGCAGTTTCTCTCCAACAGGTATCCACTAACCACCAACCATTACTTCATACTCTGGATGAGCGTGAAGGACTTAGAACTAGGCCACATAAAAAATAAAGCAATTAAATTAAACTTTATTTTATACCACTAGCTGAGAAATATAATACCACTAATTGAACTTCGTTATATAAAACTCACGGATGCCTCTTGGTAGATTTTTATTAGATCAATGACTCAGAAGTGCTTTTGACCTCTGGCATTTTATAAGGCAGCACAAACTGATATAGAGGGAAAGTTCCAGCTTGCTCGTTCTATGCAGCAAACATGGACAGGGCACATGGGGGGAAGTGTTTTCTTTATTTTTAATTTTCTTCTAGAGAAAAGCTTTCCCAGAGAGATCAGCAAACAATTAAAAGTCTTGATTATGACTTAGCTTTCGAACATTATAGAGAGGTAGGATATTTTCTAAGCCTTGTATAATTTTTTTTGTATAATTCTTTTTTTAAAAAAATTTAAAATGGAGACTTAATTGATTTTTTTTTTAAAGAGAAGCTTTTAGATCTCTTCTGCTAGGAGCTACTCCCACCTACCTGCTTATAAATTTAGATCTGAATATTAACAGACATTATTCTATATTTCTGCAGCACACCTCATGAACAGCTAACAGGATTTGAAGTGACAACTGCTACTCTGAGGTTTCACTTTCTGTAATTCTGATGCTCTTCAGAGCAGGGCCACCCAGTTACACGGAAGCAATTATGTTCACCTCCCACAGCCACTAAGGGTTTCTAGAGTGCCACACAGAGCTCCATGCTTGGGATCTCTCTCTCTCTCTCTCTCTCTCTCTCTCTCTCTCTCTCTCTCTCTCTCTCTCTCTCACACACACACACACACACACACACGTATTTGGATGTGATCGTAAGGGAGGGTCTCCTTTCAACATTCACACATGGGAGAGCCAAGGGCTGCAGCAGGTGTCTGGAAAAAGTGTCCAAGAACTAACAGCACTACGTGGTCATGCAACTGTTCGTTGCTGAACGTGCTCTATGGAGGAGGAGCAGGGATGGCCACGTCTGAACACTTCAAATCTGACGTTAGCGCTGTGCACTTGGGAGGGGGACTCGGGGTCACGGAGCACCAGGGCAGGCAGTGTGCAGACATCAGGGTCCTCAAGAGCCATCAGGGTCCCATGCACGGGAGGATGGATGTACCTAATGCAGCACCCCCAGAGAAGCCTTTCACATGCCACCCCAAGAATTTCCAGTGATTCTCAACCAAGTGTCTCGAGCTCCCAGACCACAGACTAGCCAATGGGGAAGGTTTTGGCGGCTGTGGAAATAGAATTGTAATTTAAAATATAAATGTAAAATCTATGCCGGAATGTTTTCGTTTCAAGTGATTTTTTTTCTGAAGTATACAAATGTGAAACATGACTATTCAAATATTAAGCAGCTCAGAATAAAATGGGTCACAATTTCATATGCATTCCAAAGATCAAATCAATACTGCCAAACGGGAAAAGGCTGAGAACCACCGTATCGCTCTGAGAATGCCTCCCCTCCTCCCGGGCTCTTCTCCCCACAACATCTCCATCAGTTGCAGGGAATCTCATGCAAGTCAAGTATTTCTTGCAAATAAAGTGCATGGACCCTCAGAGTCACTGGACACAAAGTACAAAATAGCTTGTGGACATGAAGTACGAAAGGGGAAGAATGAGGCAGATATATACATGTCTCTCTAAGATATCAATGTACCCTTTGCCTTTTCCCTGTAAAAGCAAGGTAAGACAGACACCCGGGATGGAAGCCAAAACTCACACAGGACAGGTTTTAATCGTGGATTACCAAACCAAGGCTGTTTCTCATTTTAGGACAGTGTTTACACGCCAACCAGTCACGAAGCACAGCAAATGGAGGGTCATAGACAAAGCATTTCAGAAGCCATCAGACAGTACAGATTTTCCGCATTGCTGGGACGCAGTACCTTGGGTTTAGTGACACAAGACCGCAACACAGCACACAGCGCAAGTTGAGAAAGAGAAACATAACCATTTGTGGCCTTACATTATGGACCTGATGGATCGCTGAGAAAGGAAATCCAGCGTTCTGATTCGTCCATATTTCACAGACAGACGACTGCTGGTATAAACAGAAAACTATCTTATCTTGTCAATATTTAAAACATGGCAGCTACCCACGTATATCCAGGAAGGGAAGGAGAACAGCAGAATACACAAATTACATTTCTTTAAAAAAAAATAAAAGAATGCTTGGGGCATTCAAGGTTTAATAATTGACTTCCAAGTCATTCATTTTGCTTAAAAGTATGTTGGGTTGACTGGGAGAGGGGTGGGGGCAGGGGGCGAGACCATTTACGCATTAGTGCTGTATCAAGGGAAATTACCAATAAATTCACACCTCGGAAAAAGCAAACTATTTTTACTTTTGCCATAAAGAAAAAGCAGCATCTTTCCCCTCTTCATAGTGTTATTTTCAGAAAGTAATTATTTCATTGAATTCAAGACAGATGGGGAAGGAAATCTTTAAAAATCAGTTAAACATCTGGATTTTCTTATCCTCAATGGTCAAGAATAAACAGTAAATGGCTACCAGCGGTCTCTAGGGCAGGGCCATGGGGCTGAGGAACCACAGGTGCTTGATCCCCTGTAGCAGAGGGTGTATTGGAAGACCCCGCCTGGTTGAGGGGGAGGGACCAGGGCTAGGGAATCTCAGCAGCCATTTAGGGGTGCAGTGAGCCAGCATCTTCTTAACTGGGCTCTCGACCATCTGAGCAGGAATCTAAAACTGTGGTGCGTGCTCAGAATCAAATGCTCCACCAACCCACACCCCCTCCCGGGTGCTGTGGCAGAGACTTCCGTATAACCTGTGGTGCTCATGGCCCGACTCTTTCAGAGTCCTTCCCGTGAATGTTGTCACCATGAGACACACTGTAATAAATAGGCTATGTGATCCTAGGACTTGGGAGGTCAAGGCAGGAAGTTTGCTCAGCTACAGAGGGAAACTGTCAAAAACCAGAGTCCTTCTCCTCCCCCCAAATAAAACCCAAAACTCTGACACTGAATAATAGGATATGGTCTGAAGTCACTTAGCAAGTCCCATGTGTGGAGCGGACAAAGATCAGTGCAGGGAGGGGACACATACACCCACAATACGTCTCTGAAACCCACCGAGGGGAAGTTTCGGCCATTAACAACTATGGGAGCCAGCTCGTCCGTCCCGATTAAGTTTCCTCCTCTCCCACCACCGCAGAGACAGACGTCAGCATCTCTCTCATTAAGATGCTTCCCCACCGCACTGTGCCTTTGCTTTTGGTCCTCTGCCGTCTGCCCAGTGCGCTGGAGGCATAGTGCAGATGCCTGGTACTCTGTAAGGGAGCTACATTCCCGGGGTCTGGCCATCTCCCATTTATTGCTCCCACTTGAAGCTTCAAGCCATTTTCTCTACAAAGAGGATCATCTTCCTATTTCCCAAAAAATTCATTCTCCAGCAAGTCAAGTCTTGAGGCTATTAACCCTACCTTCCCTATCCCTAATAGCTTCTTTCTGATTTAAAAGTACAGTGTCCCTCAGTATCTATGAAGGATCGGTTCCAGGGCATAACCTACCCACACCTCCTGCACACTGGAAAGAACGTAACACATGGGTGTATACTATACTGCCTCAGGAAGAATGACAGAGTCATGCAGCATGTTCAGTACTTTTGATCTGCTGTTAGTTGCGTCTATGGAGGGCCACCTGTACAGACTCCAGGCTTAGTTGGATTACTGTCTTTACTGGCACTAAATGTATTCATAGGATGCCCTCAACCCCGTGAACCCTCTCACCCACATCATGAGTAAATTCTGCCATGTGAGTCAAAGTCTCTAGCTCTTGTATGGACTAGGAGCTAACATGCCACCAGTCACCGAGAAGACTTCAACATCCAGAGAGACCAAGTGACTGGCCGGGGCCCCACGGAGTTGGCATATATACTAACTTCTGGGAACTTGTGTGGGACTTCACCAGAAGGCAGAGGGCCCACTGAGAGGGGCTTGGATTTCTGAGCCGCAGGCAAATACCTGGAAATAGGGCTGCTCCCCCAGACAGTCTCAACTCCATAGTTATCCAAACACGTAAAAGTTTCATTCCCTTTTCTCCCTTAGTTTTTAATGGACCAGATTCACACAGGTAGGTATGAGACCACTTACTATTCTAGGTAGGTAGCACAGCTTCCTGGTCACTTTCAGTCATGAAGTGACTGGAAGATAGAAAAGATGTAATATACTGTCTCCTTGCTGATTCTAACTTTTCCCTCCTCAGGATGGGCCAGTTTTGGGATGTAGGACACCAGAGGTAGTGAGCGAGTAGGGCTGAACTCTATCTTCTTCTAGGAGGAAGGGGTGGGTGGTGTGCTCTCTCTTGGCATGTCTTCTCTGTGTTTCTTTCAGAGGAGGACTTGGGGAAAAGATACGGTCTTTCTCTTGTGAGCTGACTGTCTGGTAGTTGGTGCTACCATTCAGTACACACTAGTGTGGCGTGCAGGGGTGGGCTCACCACCCTGCTTTCTCACTGCACACCCATGCCACTCACATGGCACGCACATATCCTGGGAGGATAGAACAGAAGACAGACTTTTGGACTGTTCATGGTCTTTGCCAGGACACACCTGTCTGTCCTCTGAGGCGCAGCAGGTGCTATGCGCATCCAAATCTATCTTGGGTAAAGATGCCCCTGTGCGTGTCCCCTGAACCCCTTTCCAGCCCTATGATGGGAAAGCACAAGGGCAGACTGCCCTGTATTCCATGGGGATGGAGGAAAAGCCTCAACCCTTTTTTAGGGGCTCCGTTCTCTGCCTGTCCCCAGCACTGAGCCTTCTGCCTGGGGACAAGGCCCTGACATTGGCAGGATAGGCCTCACTGATTTTGGGAAACCCTGAGCAGGTGTGAGCCTCTTGCATCAGCAGCTTCTCTCTATGATGTCCGGTGTTTAGTTTCTGCAGGGTAATGTCCTCTTAGTGTGCTGTTATATGGTGGTATCTTCTGACCATAATACTACCAAAGCTAAGCAATGTCGAGAGTGCCCGGCGTAACTCGTATTTGGCAATGTATTCTCTCTGCTCACATATACTGAAGACTTCCTGCGTGATTCTGCCCATTGTAGCTGCTACAATAGCTCGTTTCTGTGGATAAGCAGTCTTGGGTGCACAAGGAGTAAAAACTTCAAGATTCCCAATACCTGTGTGAGTCGTTGTAAATGGCAAAAAGTCTGATTTTTAAAAGACATCTTAAACGAAGGGAAGTTATTTAGCTGTCTTGGTTAGGAAGATTTTTTTTTTTTTCAAGTAGACACATTCCAGAGAGCCCAGTTGTTCTGCTGGCGGTAATTTGCCAGATCTACTTGCCCTCCAGGTCAGGCGGGTGAGCTGTAACAGATGACTTCCTAACAGGAGATGGCCCTTCTCCTAGACAGGACCACGAGGCTGAACGCAGGTGAAGCCTTCAGTATGGACACTCACTCTATCTACGAAGATACAATTGCCACACAACACGTGCTGGGATTTCAAAGCTTTAAGAAAGAGAAGAAAGTCCCAAGGACAGCATTTTGTCTAGGATGGAAGGTGTTCTAAAAAACTGATGACTTAAAGTCATCTTTTTTTTCAATAATTTAAATTATGTGTTTAATATATTATGTGGGTTTATGCGCATGAGCTCAGTGCCCTCAAAGGCCAGAAGAGAGGATTAAATTCCCTGGAGCTGGGGTCACAGGCACTCGTCATAGGTCCCCTGCCAGAGCAGTACATGCTCCTAACCATCCCCCCCAGCCCCTAAAGCTAAGTTTTAATGAACCTTGAGAATATCTTCATCTGCAAAAGACATTTCTTGGCTTACTTGTTTTATCAGGCCAACTCAACACCCACTCTATATGAGAGAGGGATTTTTTTTTCCCCACAGCTAACTTTTCAGAGGCCCAGAACACAGGAGGTATTTAGACATACGCATGGAATCCATGAGGAGCTCTTGGTAAATGGTGCTGTGCTGCAGAGAGAGTCAGCACTGGTATTCCTTGGTCTATTTCATTATTGCCATTCGTACCACTAGTAAACCAATCCACTGCCAACGCACTTCACCTAGGACGTTTCAGAGATTAACCTTACAGAGTTCTAAGAAGAAGAAGAAAAAAAGAGGAGGAAGGGGAGGAGGAGGAGGAAGAGGAAAAGGAAGAATATGAAGAGGAGGAGGAGGAGAAGGAGGAGGAGGGGGAGGAGGGGGAGGAGGAGGAGGAAGGGGAGGAAGGGGAAGAAGAAGAAGAAGAAGAAGAAGAAGAAGAAGAAGAAGAAGAAGAAGAAGAAGAAGAAGAAGAAGAAGAAGAAGAAGAAGAAGAAGAAGAAGAAGAAGAAGAAGAAGAAGAAGAAGAAGAAGAAGAAGAAGAAGAAGGAGAAGAAGAAGGAGAAGAAGCAGCAGCAGCAATCCTTATTTTTTCCTGATGAAGGTTGACAAAAGGTTGCCCGCTTTGCTGGAGAGATGGAACTCTTGCCACTCCCCCTCTGTAGCAGAGGCTGCTGCAGAGCTTGAAGACAGAGCTGCAGAAGAACATTGTGTCTCTGCTGTTTCATTTGCCTATCAGTGTTTCCCCAGCGCCCTGTCCACATAGACTGCAAAAGCTGATTTAGTTTGTCTGAGCTGGAATTACTATGAAATCCAAATAAATGGGTTTAAGTAAAGATAAGGTAGTCCTTCAGGTTTTTTTTTTTTTATTACATTTATTTGTACAAGTATGGAGGCCAGAGGACAACCATGGTCTGTGGGTTCTGGGGACCAGAGTCAAGTCTTCAGGTTTGGCATTAAGTGCCTTTACCCTCTCGGCCATCTTGCCAGCCACAGTAGTCTTATAATTGTGACAAAAGCAATAACATAATTTTACTTCTTTGATGATAGTTAATACTCATTAGAAGGAATAAAATTAGGCTGGGTATGATGGGGCACACCTTTAATATCAGTACTCAGGAAGCAGAGGCAGGGGGATCTCTGTGAGTTTGAGGCCAGCCTGGTCTATCTAGGAAGTTAGGACCCTGTCTCAAAAAGTCAGAGAAAAAAGAAGAATGGAAGGAAGGAAGGGAGGGAGGAAGGGAGGAAGGGAGGG